GTAGGGAAAAGAGTTTTAGGGTCCAATATGTTTGGGAAATGATGCACGAATCAGGCTTATTCAAGATTTTCAGGGCTTTAATGTGCTGTATGTACCGTATATTTCCAAGAGAGGGCTATAATATGAGGTACTTTCTCATATATATTGCACAATGGAATACTACTCAGCCACGAAGAAGAATGAAGTAATGCCACTTGCACCAACATGGATGGAACTAGAGATGATCATACTAAGTGAAGTAAGTCAGAAAGAGAAAGACAAATACCATATGGTATCACTTATATGTGGAATCTAAAATATGACACAAATGAACTTACTTAACGAAACAGAAACAGACTCACAGACACAGGGAACAGACTTGCGGTTGCCAAGGGGGAGGGTGGTGGGGAGGGATGGATTGGGAGTTTGGGATTAGCAGATGCAAACTATTATATATAGGATGGATAAACAGTAAGATCCTACTGTATAGCACAGAGAACTATGTTCAATATCCTGTGATAAACCATAGTAGAAAAGAATATAAAAAACGGAATCACTTTGCTGTACTGCAAAAATTAACACAACATTGTAAATCAACTAAACTTCAATTTAAAAAATTAAAAACAATAAAATTTTATGGGGATAGAAAAAATATGAAGTACTTTCTCAACTTATTTCATCATGGATACCTTCTTTCCAAGGAGTATATTGTGGTACAACTGTTTAGCAAGACACATTCTGGCAAACACAGTTAACAAAAATTATAGTATATAAGAAGAGGGGAATGATGGTCTTGATTTTGGTCAGACCCCACTTGGGTTGTGTGATGAAAGTCAGACACCATGATTTCAGAGGGGAGAACTGATAGAAGAGTAATACAGATGATGTCAAATTGCTTTGGGTTTGGAAATAAGTCTTGTCAGAAACGGCTAACAGAACGGAGGCTCTTTGGCCTGGAAAAGCGAAGACCCAGGAAGGACAAGATAAATGGTCTTAAAATATTTGAAGGTTTGTCATGTAGACCTAGGATTAGTAGACAGGGAAATGAATTGCAGATAATTATTTAAATAAATCTCCAGTCTTTAAAGTTGTTCCAAAGGTTCCAAATTTCAAAGTCGTTCTAAATTTCCAGCCATTAGCCATTCCAAAGTGGCTGCCTTTGGAAAGACAGGATAGTGTATTTCCAAGGATGCTGGTGCATTTTCTGGGATGACCAATCTGAGCAATGGTACTGAGAGGCATTAATATAGGACGAGGATTGGATCAGATGGGCTGCACAGACCTCACGACACCGAGATTCTATGATTAATGTGTGTCTCTTCTTGCTCCAGCAGTTTTCACTTAGGCAAAATAATGACAGATTTTATTTCCTTATCTAATCCTGATCTTCAATTTATGGGCTAGATTTTTATCATTTGGGTGATCACTTGCATAATTATGATTATTTTTCAAATGTAAATATAAATTCACAGGGTAATACTCACATCAAAAATTTTCTTGATCACTTCTGGTTGGATCTTATCAAAAAGATCAAGATCCTTCTCTTCCACCATCTTATCTCGATAAACCCGATTTGATTCGTGCAGATAGAGCTTTACTAGGTCCTGTGTGGATTTTACACATTCCACAGAGGAGAAGAGAATGCCCTTTAAGGAGAATAAACAGCAACAAAAAATAACATGAATAGCAATTTAAAACTACAACAGTTACAATTGATAGAAGCCAGTATGTGACAGGTACTGAACTAGATGTTTTGCCAGAAAAAGCTCATTTAACCATCCATGATGCTACAAAGTAATTTTTACAATAGTCATTTTGTATAATGTGAAGATTGGGATTCAGAAAGACAGGAAGCATGCCCAATGTCATAAGGTGAGTGGCCTTAGTTCAAAACCGCACAGTTCTGAAACCAGGTCTGCCTGACCTGAGAGCCTGGAATTTCAACCACTACTTTCCAGATCACCACAGTGAGAGATGAGGCTGCTTCTCTGCTGTATTTCTCTTCTACAAGTACCACTTTGAAAACTAATCTGGGTGATGATTGCTTATGTAAAATCAGAACGATGACATAGGGCTGGAATGAATATAGCTAACCTTCGCAGGCCAGTAATCCATTTATTCATCTCTAGTAAGTTCTCCTTCTTATATACCTCAGGGATCGTTCCAAATATTTACTCTTCTTTTCAAATTTCTGTCACCTCTATTAGCCAGTGTCCTATCCCTCTTTTTCAAGGAAAAATGGAGACCACTGAGATTAGAGCCTCTCGATGACTTCATATCCTATAACTTCAAGCTCATGGATGCCTTGTTTGCCCTCATTGCTTTCTTTCTTGTCTTACAAGAAAAGGGGTCCTTTAATTGTTCCTTATTACGGACAGAATAATGCTCAGATTCAGCCACGTGGCATAAAGATCTGGACATAATAAGACTATCAGTCTGCTTCCTCATCACACTTACCATCACTTCCCATAAAATCTAGATTTCAATTTCACAAACTGCAAATTATTTTCTAACCCTGAATACTTTTGTGCCTCCATGCCTTCTGTTTTACTTCCTCGGCTCATCTTTCAAGATCTAGCTCCACTGCTCTCTGCTGAAGTATTCCAGGGCCTCTCCTCTCCTGTCCAACAACATCCCTCTGATGTGCCCCACATAACCCTTTATATATAAATCTCTATTAATATAGAAGAATTATAAGTTTCTAAAATTATTTTTCTTTGTACAGGTTTGCTTCTTCCAGGTCATGTTGAGTGCCTCTAAATTTTGGAAATAAAGCAATATACTTCCAAATACCCCATGGGTTAAAGAAGGAATCATAGGGAAAATTAAGAAATATTATCAAACGAATGAAAAAAAATATAACCCATAAAAGCCTGTGTGATGCAGTGAATGGTACAATTAGAGATAAATTTATAGCCTTAAGATAAACATTTCAGAAGAGGTGAAAGGCTGACAACTAATGATCTAAGTAGCCATGTCAAGAAGTTAGAAAAACAAGAATAAACTTACCCCAATCCCAGAGTAAGTAGGAAGAAAGAGATTATAAAGAAAAGAGCAAATTTTAATAATATAAAAAACATATCAAATAGAGATAACCAATAAAGTCAAACACATAATATTGGTATACTTTTCTTTTCTTTTTCCATTTCTTTTGAAAAGACTGGCACAATTGATAACTCCCTGGTAGGGCTGATAGAAGATAGAAAGAGAAAAGACACACATAGCCAGAATAAAAAAGAGAACATATGTCAGATAAAACAGATACGTAAAAGATAACAACAGGATACTATAAACAATTTTGTGCCAATAAATTAGAAATTGATGACACTGACATCTTACCGCAACTGATACATAAAGAAATAGAAAATGTGAATTGTCTAATATGTATTAAAGAAATTGAATTTATAATTTAGTCTTTCACAAAGAAAACTTCAGATGGTTTCATCATTAAATTCTTCTGACGTTTAAGAAAGGCACAATACAGTGTTTTAAAAAATCTTCCAGAGAGTAGAAAAAGAGGAAACGTTTCCCAATGCATTTTTTATGAGGACTTCATAAACTTAGAATACTAGAAGAAAGAGAAATTATAGGAAAACCTTATTAATATAGGTGCAAATGTTATATAGAAAAAAACAGTGAATGAAATCCAGAAAATAAAATAAGTTCACCATGTAACAACTAAGTTGGGTTGATTACAGGAATGCAAGGTTGATTTAACATTCAAAAATAATCTATGTAATTTATCCCATTTCCAGAAAAAATGGAGAAAAAAATGGATATAATTATTTCAACAGATATAGAAAAATCATTTAAGTTTCAGCAAATACTCATGATAAAAAAAAACTCTTGGTAAACTATAAACAGAAAGAAATTTTCTTAAACTGGTAAAGAGCATCCACAAAAATCTATAGTAAGCATCACATTTGATGGCCAACTATTAAAAGCTTTCCCCTAAAATTAGGAACGCTGCAAAATGCCACTCTCACCACTTCTCTTCCTTGTAGTGGCAGCTGTAGCCAGCACAGTAAGAAAAAGAAATTAGAAGATTTAAGGATTGGAAAGAAAGAAATTGTTATTATGATTCATTTTTACCAATGACATGATTGTATATATAAGTACAAACGTAATATTGAACAAAGACACAAAAGGATATTTACCATATGATTCCATTTATATAAAGTCCCCATATAGGCCAAAATAACTTATGGTGTTAGAAGTCCAGACAGTAATTAGCTCTGGAAGGGGGAGAAAACAGTGAATGGAAGAAAGAAAAAGGAGGAGTTCCATGGATTGCTGGGAATGTTGTACTTCTTGAACTGAGTTGTGGTTACATAGCTGTGATGACTTTGTGACAACCAAGCTCTCTGCTTATGGCCTGTGTGCTTTTCTACTTGGATGCTATACTTTAATAAAAGTTTATTTTAGAAAACGAGAGAAATCTCATTAGGTCCCTTTGGGCCCACCCACACATACATCTCAGCCCGTCTCCTTCCTGGGTCTCCTAGGTACCAGCCCTGTGCGAGGCGCAGACGGCGGGAAGAAGCCCCGCGGAGAATGCTGACTCCGGGACTGGGTTTTACAGTGAAGGGTGCCATCAGCTGGTGTGTATAAGCCCTGTTACAGCCGAACACTCAGGCTGACTGACAAGGGCTGAGTCGATGAGAGCACGTCAAGAGCAAACTTTGCACCGTCTTAGACAGTTTTGTGTAGCACTGAGATGGGAACGGTTAATGATTTCTGCTACTCGGGGCACTATCAAATTCTGTCCTGATGCCCGAATTCTGGACAGAATGCGTGAAGTGCAGAGGAGGTCTGAATGACTGAGCCTTGGATCAAGCTGATGAAGGAAAACAGCATGTTCTCCAGGCAGCGCCTGTCTCCCCGGGGACAACACCCTCCCTTATGCTCTTCTGTCAGGACTTCTTCAGACAAGCAGGCCGGAGGGGGCGGGAGGGGGATGTTGTAGCCCTGCTGTGGCCTTGAAACTCGGCTCTGGAGGAGGGGAGGGTGAGGAGGGGCAGCGCTGGAGGGAGGCAGGGGCTCCAGTAGGGATGCACCTTCCCCCACCTGGGGCAGGGGCCTGACAGCTGGCAGGCTGCGACACAGAGCCCGGGGGTTGCCACTCAGGCTGCCTGAGTCCGGAAAAGAAACAGACTTAGCCTCCCATGCCAATATCTCCCCTCCCTGGTTCCTCCTTGACTTTGCATGGTTGCCACCAAAACAGGCTGGACTAGAACCCTCCTTCCTGAGGAAGTGTTTGCTACCCCGAATTCCCGGCACAGTAGAGCTGACCCCGCCTAGTTTTTTGATATGAGGCTTCTGTTTGCCCGTTATGCTGAACATACTCAAGCTACTTGATTTGTCTGTAGCACGGTTTTGTCATTTCTAAATTGGAAATGATCAGTATGTTACCTGATATGGTTGTTGTGAGGATTAAATTATTAGCTAATAGATGCAGAGGGTGTAGGACTGGCTCAATAAATGTCAGCTTTATTACAGACTGAAGGCGGACTTTTTACAAGGATCCCCTCTGTTCTCAAATTCCCTCCCCCATCTCACTGCTCACAACCTCTCCTCGTCACTGTCCGCTTCCACCTACTTGTTATTCCACTAATGTGGTGTGTACTTTTCTATCTCCATGGCCATTCATGCCGTCATCTACCAGCTGGCAACTTCTCCGAGCCTCTGTTAAATTGGGATAATAACGTGTATCCCAAAGGGTTATCGTGAGTATGAATCTCAGGCCACACAGGTGACAAGGCGCTGTCCAGGCAGGAGCTGGGCTGGCGCTTCGTGTGAGGGAGACCGAATGCCTCTTCCTCCTTTAGTTCTGCCACTACGGGCAGCGTGAATTTGATCAAATGGCTCAACTCCTTTTTGCTCATCTGGAAGATGTACATGGGGATGCCCCCAGCTCATCCTGTCGCAGTGAGATTTCAGAGACCGCTTGTGTGATAAAAAAAAAAAAAAGAAAAAAGAAGTCTTTCTCAATTAATACTCAGTAAATGGGAGATAAGGGTGGGAATGCACAAACTTTGCCACCATCTAGGTCTGAGGGCCACGGAGCTGTGGGTTTTACGGGCTTGGAGCTGAGTCTTTCTTGCTGCCTTAACTGTCTTATGCTGTTCTCCTCATAGAAAGAATGGGTGAGAAGGATAGAATGGCGTGGTGGAAAGGGATTCTGGCCTGGGACCTGAAAGACCTAGGTTCTATTCTGGCTCCTACCCTGGCTGGCTGTGCAAGCTCTGCGGGTGTGTTTCCTCATTTGTAGCTGAGTTAACGCTTGGGAGGCATGTGACCCAGGAGAGCTGTCCTGAGCCAGCTTACAGGAGCTCTCAGAGACTCAACCTGGCTGTGGGGCTGTGGTCCACCCTCCAGATAAGCTTTTTGGGAGCATCACTCTTGGATCTTTGAACTAATAGTTAGTGGGTTTCTGCTTCTTTTGACCATGGAACCTGCAGGCTCTATGGCCTCAGAGTCTGGACCTTTGCTAGTCTGAGGCTCCCCAGAGTCCTACCTGCACAAGAAATGTAATTAACCCCAAACACATGTGATCCCCAAGGAGGGTCATGCCTCACTCCCTGATCATGCTGATATTTCCCTACAGATGTGGCCTCTGCTTGGGATAAAAGGCACTTTCCCTCAATAATGGCTCAGAACTATCCTGGAGAGGGGTCTCTCTGAAAAGCGGTTTCTGCAGATTCTCATCCAGGATGGGAGAGTTGTGGACCCATCACAAGAGGATGCGGTACCTGGCCAAGGGGAAGAGGGGGCCGGGTTTGCTGCATTGCCCTCTGGAGGTTTTGATAGTGAAGGGGCAAGCAACTGGAAGCACCAGGCAGACACAGGCCACCACTATTGAGATGAGCAGCTGGAAGGATCTGAAATGGCTTTGACCTGGAAAATAACGTGGAAGTTTTAGGACTGACGCATCCCAGTGGCTGGCGGATGGTGTCTTCGGAATAGTATGACATGGCTTTAGGAAGCAGAGCTATCCTGCATGGTTTAGAGGATGTTATTTTTCATCCCAAGAATGATGGGTGTACCACCAGGGCCTGCAAAATAGTTTTCTCGCTTCTGTGTCACTTTCTTTTCTAGGCATGTTGGAACCATTAGATGACATTATCTCCAAAATGCTGAACCTTCTCCAGCCCGAAGGAACCAACTCAGAAATAAATACACTCTGCTTACCAAGAAGTAATTTAATGGGCAAAGAGAATTCTATTATGCTGAATAGACCCTCACGGACCCCACAGAACTCTGTTTACTTGTACATTCGTCACTCCATATGAACTGTGCCTTTGCCTGAGAGTTTGGCAAAGAATGGAGGGGACAGGATCATGGCTAAGCCTCCTAGTGTGTCTTGGAGCCGATGGACTCACCTGGAAAATGTTGGCCAAGTCCCTGAGGTTGAAGATGTAATGGAATCTGATTGCTGTGGGGAGGAACGTGGTGGCGATCTTCTGGTGGAAGGTAAGGGCCAGACGGATCAGCTGGGGGACGCATTTCTGCAGTGGTGCCGGGAAGTCCCCAAGCTTCAGGTGCTGAGTCAGGATGGTGGAGTAGATGGAGGACAGGGCGTCTGCTCCCGGGAAGGAGAGGGCGAACACGCTGAAGTGACGCTGGATAGGGGAGCAGAGGCACGTGGAGGAGGCCACGAGTTAGACATCCGTGGTCACAGGACAGAAATCACCTCTTCAGGATTTGGATAAGATGGCGAAGAATTCTTAGAAGGGCTTTGAATTCTACATTCCGGCCACATTTCTCACATTAAACCCAAACTCAGGTTGAACCTAAAATGATTAATGGGTTTTGGACTTCTGGTCAAAGACGTCAGCATGGCGTAGCAGGAAGGGAATGGAACTTGGACTCTGGGAATCTGAGTCCAAATCTGAATGTGATCCTGAGAATGCACATGACCTTGGGAGGGTCATTCACCTAGCTGAAGTTCTCTCAACCTGAAGACCAAGTTGAATTAGATGAACCCTGATTCCTTCTGGCTCAAAAAGCTTCAGAACTCTGGGTCTAGGGGTTTTTCTGTCTCCCTGGAAATGCGAATCAGCATCCTGTATGATTTACCACTTGAAGAGGCTGGACAGGGGAGGGGCCAATTATCACACATAGTCCAGTGACATCAGCCTGGAAGGTAGTGTTTAGGACCCCAGGGTCACAGTTCCTCCTGTACCTGAAGCCGTGGGTTGATGGTGAAGCTGCCCGCAGTGGGGTTCATACAGGAAATGTACTGGACATTCATGACCTCCTTTAGGGATAGTTTGTTTCGATCATACCTGGAACAGTCAGAAACCATGGACGAGAGTTGAGTGAGGGCAGAGGCAGGTAAGTGTGCTGTCAAGGTGAGCAGGGATGTGCCTGATCATTCATGTGTTTGGGGGGTAAAAAACAGTCTAGATACATTGGTAGAAACTGAGAAGAGACAAGAGCTTAGGACAAATTCCTAAGGGATACAACATCTATGGGAGTAGCGCCGGAAGAAGAGACCACAAAGATGGTCAAAGAGGTAGGAGGAAATCAAGGGTGCGTAGTATCCAGAAAGCAAAGGAAGCCAGTATTTCCAGCAGGACAGAGCAGTCAACCACATCAAGTGCTGCAGAGAAGATAAGAAACATGGTGACCCAACGGGGTCCGTTGGGTTTCACAATAAAGATAGAGTTAGTTGAGCAGGAACAGTTCCGTAGAGTGTAGGAAATAGAGGCCTAATCACAGTGGACAGAAGAGTGAGCGGGAGACGAGGAGGTGGAGACAGAGGGGAGAATCTGGTTATGCAGAGACACAGCAGTAATTAGAAAATGATTTTTTAACACTATAGGATAAATGTGTGCAGGTTTAGACACTGATACGAAGGAGCCCATCGGGAGATAGGGGAACTGGTAGGTGAAGTGAGATTTCGAGAGATGGAGAGAGTAGACTCAAGATGCTGGTGGGTGGTTAAGCCTCAGTGAAAATGTAATAAGGAGAGGGAGAAAAAGATGCACAGGGATGGAAGTAAGTTGTATAGGTGTGGAAGCTAGAAATGGAGATGGCAGGAGTGACCATCCACTGAGGTCGGGCAGGAAGTTGAGGAGAGAGGAGAAGGCATGAAGTTGGCATTTCGGAGGGTGGAAATGTAAACATATGAAGGCAATACAGTAGAATTTCCAGGAAGTTTCTACTTCCCACTGAAGGTTTGTGACCATGAATCTAAAGTAAAACTATTCAATAAGTAGCCTGATCTCTTCCAGGAGACTTCAGCGGCTCGAATACTGGTGTGGAGATTGTGGATGGCGGTCCATGGCACGCGTCCAACAAAGACCTTAGGAATGAATGAAAGGCAAGTCGGGTGACTGTCGTCATGACTGTAATTCCTCTCTCTGAACCCCCTCTTGGCCCTCCCTGCTCCTTCTCAGCAGCAGTAGATTCAGTGTGAGGTAGGAAGGTGAGCCAGAGTTATCTCAAATCACTGACTTGCTTTTTTCTTTCTGGCAAGTTTAGACCTTTTGCCATTAAAAACTATTCTGTTGCAGGAGATAACATCAGAGCCTGTGAGATGCTCTGAAAAGACAAAGGCTATTAAGACCCGCAAACACACGTGCACTACACAGAATGTTAGCTGTTCTCAGCGAAGGCCCTGCTCACTGCGACAGGACCACGGTGGGGGGGGGGGGGGGGGGGGGGCACCACAACGACACACTGCGTGGCGTGACCTGGAAAACAGACACATACACACCAGGCAATCACCGACAGGCTCTGAATGAGGACCGGT